TTCTTTTTGTCAAAGTCATCTTCAAAGTCGTGCTTAAAAGGGGACCATACCATTTCTTAAAAGAAAAAAGGAAATTATGATTATTGCTTTTTTGAAGTTAATATTTATATAGCAAATTCATCATTTTGCAGACCTTTCAGAAAATTGTCTTTTGGAAGGCAACCCTTCAGCATGTTTGAGAAATTATGATAAAGCTTGAAACATGTAACGCCATGTACTCGAGAAGGTTGTTTATCTTACCTGTTGTGGTTTTTTTTTTTTTTTTATTGCTGTGTTGTAGGTATGTGACTGGTGTAAGCATATAAGACATACAAAAGAATACCTGGATTTTGGGGACGGGGAAAGAAGGCTTCAGTTCTGCAGTGCAAAATGTCTCAATCAATACAAAATGGACATTTTCTACAAAGAGACACAGGCCAATCTTCCAGCTGGGCTGTGCAGCACTTTACACCCTCCCATAGAAAATAAAGCAGAAGGCTCCGGGGTGCAGCTGCTCACTCCAGACTCTTGGAATATCCCGCTAACAGATGCTCGGAGGAAGGCCCCCTCCCCGGTGGCTGCAGCTGGCCAAAGCCAAGGCCCTGGCCCATCCGCTTCCACCACCGTCTCTCCATCTGACACTGCCAACTGCTCTGTCGCTAAAATCCCCACGCCAGTGCCCAAGTCCATCCCCATCAGCGAGACTACAAACATCCCTCCTGTCTCTGTCCAGCCACCTGCTAGCATCGGACCTCCGCTGGGCGTCCCGCCTCGCAGCCCTCCAATGGTGATGACCAACCGTGGCCCGGTCCCGCTGCCCATCTTCATGGAGCAGCAGATCATGCAGCAAATCCGCCCACCCTTCATCCGCGGGCCCCCGCACCACGCCTCCAACCCCAACAGCCCCTTGTCCAACCCCATGCTCCCTGGCATTGGGCCTCCACCTGGCGGCCCCAGGAACCTGGGCCCCACTTCCAGCCCCATGCACCGGCCCATGCTGTCGCCCCACATCCACCCCCCAAGTACCCCCACGATGCCTGGGAATCCCCCCGGGCTGCTGCCCCCGCCTCCCCCGGGTGCCCCCTTGCCCAGTCTTCCCTTCCCTCCCGTAAGCATGATGCCAAACGGTCCGATGCCGGTGCCCCAGATGATGAACTTTGGGCTGCCGTCCCTCGCCCCGCTGGTGCCGCCCCCCACGCTGCTTGTGCCGTACCCGGTGATCGTGCCCCTGCCCGTGCCCATCCCCATCCCCATCCCCATCCCTCACGTCAACGATTCCAAGCCCCCCAACGGATTCTCCAGCAACGGGGAGAACTTCATTCCGAGCGCCGCCGGCGACCCCTCGGCCGCAGGAGGCAAGCCGGCCGGACACTCCCTGTCGCCCCGGGACTCCAAGCAGGGCTCGTCCAAGTCCGCGGACTCGCCGCCGGGCTGCTCGGGCCAGGCGCTGGGCCTGGCGCCCTCCGAGCACGGCCGCGGCGACGTGGTGGACCTGACGCGGCGCGGGAGCAGCCCCCCGGGCGCGGGCGGCCAGCTGGGCTTCCCCGGCGTGCTGCACGGGCCGCAGGACGGCGTCATCGACCTGACTGTGGGCCACCGGGCCCGGCTGCACAACGTGATCCACCGCGCGCTGCACGCGCACGTCAAGGCCGAGCGCGA